CATAGTTTAGTAGAGTGAAAACATGGGGTACGTGGAGGGAATGGGGAAGGTTAAGATGTTGAACACTTCTTTAGGTGTTGGGAAGTCATTGAAGATTTTTGAACTAGAAAGTGATGTGATCAGATTGGCAGCAAGTGTCCTTGGATTGGAAGGAGGAGAGAGGAGAGCAGGTCCACCGAGTCAGGGAGTACACAAGTGGCACCAAGCAGAAGGCAGCTGGGTGGGCGTGTCCTCTCAGAGGGCGAGGGCTTGATGGCAAGGAGAGCCCGAAAGCTTGGTGGCAAGAGGGCAGTGGAGCCAGCAACAGATTGGGAGTGCCACCGAGAGGGCAGTGGGCTGTCAGGAGGAGATATGCTGCCTTTAGTTGGCACACTCGATGGTGCGGGCTGGACGGCCTGCTCATCAGAAGGGTGAGGTTGCCACCTCTGCGAAGTCCAGAATAAAGATGTAGATTTGCCTGGATTTGCAGCTGAAGCAGGGAGAGGAGTTGTTCAAGGTGGGAGGTTTGCTTGGGACGTGGAAGGTGAGCACCAAGAGGAGCCTGATTCTTGAAGGGTCTGGCTCTTTGGCGGTATCTGGTTAGTTTGGGAAATGCAGTAGAGGCTGACGGAAAAGGAGGAGGGGAAGGTTTCTGCTGAGATTCATGTTGCCAGGAACGTTAGACCTTACTTGTATCATTAGTTCCTAAACTGTAGTGTTCAGCAAAATGAATAACTGGCAAACGTACCATGGAAGTTCACCTGTCAAGGGCTCTATTCTGTTAAATGTTACTGAAGTGCAGTGTTGTTAGTACCTTTAAATTGTCTCTTCTCTGGGCGGAGCTAAAAAGGGAATAATTAAGTTATCTGGTACTAAATTGCCTAGTAAATGACATCTCAGATCAGAGGAAGTGAGAAGATTTTCACAGTGAAATAAACTCTGAACCTAGGATTCTTAATTTTGATTAAGAATTTTAGATATCTGAAAACTCTTACTTTTTATTTTTAAGAGACAGAGGTCTTCCTAATCTGCCCAGCTGGCCTCAAACTCCTGGGTTCAAGCAATTCTGCCTCAGCCTCCCAGGGAGCTGGGACTACAAGTGTGCTGCCACTGCATCCAACTGAAAACTATACTTTTAAAAATGACAGCTCAGAGAAGCCAGTTGTGTGGTTACCAGACATTGCTATTATGCATTGGCCTGTGCTAAAATATAAAATATACTTGGTCTTTGCCTCTGGTTCCTGCCACAGAGATCCTAAAACCCTAGGGATTTTCCGCATGATGGGAGTTTCTTCTGTTATTCACAATGAGCCCCTCCATCACAACTGTGTGTGTGCTGGCGGGTGACTAGGGCCCACCTGTGTGTGCTTAGGGTGGGCCTGTACAGCCTTGGGATGGGCTGCTCCCCAGAAAGACCAAGTGCTTAGAGGGTTGGAACTTTCCGACGGCCCCCAGTCTACCTATGGCAAGGTGGGGGCTGGAGATTAACCTCTGTTAAGCTCTATAAAAACTCTTGAACAACAAGATTAGATGAGCTTCCAGGTGCCCCAGAAAGGGTGTGGACTCTCCCCCCATAGCTTGCCTTGTGTATCTCTTCCCTCTGGTGCTTCCTGAGCTGTGTCCTTTATAACAAATCCGTAAACATATGTAAAGCATTTCCCTGAGTTCTGTGAATCAGTCTAGCAAAGTATCGAACACCATCTTGTAGTTGGTCAGCCAGAAGTGCACATTGTAATCTGGGACTCCAGCTGATGTACGAAGGTTGGGGCAGTCTCGTGGAACTGAGCCCTCGACCTGTGGTGTCTCTTGTGTGCTCGGGGTGGCAGAGTCGGAACTGAGTTGGATTAGAGGACACCCAGCTGGTATCTGCTGGGCAGCCCCCACGCGTGGTGTCAGTGTGGTGGGAGTGTAGTGTAGCACAAACTGTGTTTTCCTTTCGTACAGTCTTCGCTAGGGTGTGTAGCGGCCCAGGGAAAGCTGCCCTGCTGCACTGATGGTTCACTGAAAGATTTAACTGACAAAAAGCAGATAAATGGAAGAAAAGGCATGCAAATTTATTAACATGCACAGGAGTCTAAGAAAGATCTCAAAGAAATGGCCAGAGAGTTGATGCTTTTATACCATGTTGAGATTGCAGAAACAGGGGACTCGGAGCATGGCCAGAGACAGGTTATGGTGGTAAATCAGTTTATGGGGGCAAGACGGTCATGGAGGAGAGCACAGGAGGCCTGGCCAGCAAAGGTGGTCCTGCAATGCAGATGACCTCACTGCCTCTGAGAGAGAGAGTAGATGGTAGATGTTTCCTCCAGCCCTTTAACACATAAATACAGCCCACATGGCAGTTAAACTCATGCTAGTTTTGAGCCTGGGGCCCCGTGAAGCATACGTAACCCACATGTCCCTTCACCTTGGGAGTTACGAGAACTGTTTTTCAAGTTGCATATAACTCAGACACAGAAAACAAAAAATAAATTTTTTATTAAATTAGAAAGGATTATTTTGGTTTTGAAGTTTTTATTCTGTTTTTGTAATAAAACACTGTGGTCCCAGGGGGAAAAAAATTTTTTTTCTAGTGTGGCAGTGGATGTGTTAAGGTGTCAGGCTCCCTGTCGGTCTTCTCTGGATCCTGACTAGAGGTGGGGTAGGGGTGCTTCAGAGAAAGCCTGTCTGCACGTATTGTTTACTTCCCTTTATTTCCTCCACAGATGCCAGAGCTTTTCGCCTATTCTTGTATTTCTAGCCCTTCTAGCTGTCTTGAAATATGTCAAGGAAGTATATTTTGTGGTGAAATATTTTGGTTTCTTTCAGGTAAAAGGAATCCAGTTCACTGAGGAGCCATTTTTTTTTTCTTGTCTTTGTTTTCTTTCTTTCTTTTCTTTCTCTTTTGTGAGACAGGGTTCTCGTTCTGCTGCCCAGGCAGCAGTGGCACGATTATAGCTCACAGCAACATCAAACTCGCAGGCTCAAGCAGTACTCCTGCCTCAGCCTCCTGAGTAGCTGAAGCTACAGGGGTGTGCCACCATACCCAGCTAACTTTTCTATTTTTTGTAGAGATGGTGTCTCACTATGTTGTTCAGGCTGGTCTTGAACTCCTGGCCTCAAGTGATCCCCCTGCCTTGGCCTCCCAGAGTGTTGGGATTACAGACGTGAGCCACTGCGCCTGGCCTGATCAGCCATTTTCTTAACAGGTTGTTCTTAGCTAACAACCAGGTTCCTCCAGCCTCTTTTCCCCTGCTCTTGTGACTTTGGGCAATTCTTGCCTAAGCACAGAAGCATTTTGTAATGTTCCTGAAATATTGAAAAGCAGGAGGCCAAGGGCATGGTTATTACTGAGCTGTTACAGAGCTAGGAGATGTGGAATCTCAATTAGCAGATGCCTTTCCACCGAAGACAGAAGCCCACAGCCATCTGGAATTCTGCATAGTGAAACAGTCTTCAGAAATAAATTCTCCTCAAGAGCCCTGATCTCCTATGTTCCCTGTCTGTTGCAATCCAATCTAAGTATCAGAATTGTTTGCAAAGAATCAGGTTTTTCTATTCTGACTATTGCAACACCAAAACGGAGGCCTGGCGGAAGTGTAAAACGCTTGTTGCAGACTCTCTTGCCCTTTTTCACCTCATCTCTAATTCCAGGAAACCAGATGGAATTTACCTTCCTCCATTTCAGGAATTATTACCATTTCCTTCTGGAAAAGGTCTTCCATGTATAGAACCAAAAAATATCACTGGCCCAGTGTCTGAGGTACAGAAAATGGATTATGTGAGTTTTCTTGCCTTTGAACTTTTTGAGTGGATGACTCTGGAAGCACCTTTTTTCTAGATTGTAGGGATTAAAGAAGCTTCCAGGTGAGGTCAGGTCACTGATGAAGGTGGAGTGCGGCACTTGGCTCTGCCACACGCAGCAGTCTTGCTGATCCCTTGGGGCCGGCAGCCTCTGCACCAGATGCTTTGGGCCGCGTGCGTTTTGCTGTGTCAGGGAATGACAACATTCTTCCCACCTTGCATAACTGCGGACACAGATGTTTGGAAAGGTATCTTTTAAAATATCTGTCCTATTTCTTTAACTCACTGTGGACATAGCTTTTTGTTCAGTGATAACATATTCAAGAGGTAGTAAGTAAGCTCATGTTTTTACCTCTCTCTCTTTGATAGTGGAAGAGACCCAGACTCTGGCTTTTTACTTTGATGAAGAAGATTTTCAATTAAGGAAGAGTGTTTTTTTCAGATTTCTTCCAGAGTTTGTGTATTTCTGTTATAATGAGGATAATTAGGGTGCTTTGCATTTCCCAGTTTCTGCCAGATACAAGATTTCAGTGGATCCTAAGTGACCCCATGTAGTAGGAGGTCGAGATAGTATCAGTCCTGTTTTGCAGATGAAGAGTCAGAAATTTGGCATGTTGGTTAAGGAGCACAACTAGTGAGTGTTCAACTTGGGGATTGAATCTGGATTTTTCTTTAATTTCCAAATAGTATTCTTTTTTTTTCTTAACACTATTAAGCCACTCCCAGGCCTTTCTGTGTTAAGTTGTAGGATTCTCCCCTGTTACTGGGCAGTCCAAACATAAGCATCATTTATTTAATTCCTATATATCTCCTTGAAAACTGAAATCGTTGTTCTTGGATTAATTTGGTGGCAGGCAGCAGTTTGCAGGGTGCTGGGAGTTGTGGTTTGTGAATAGCTGCTGTGGGGAAGTGCAGGGATGGTGGGGTCTGTGTGCTGCCAGCGTGAGCCCCCGATGTGACCAGGGGACAGTGGCCTGAACAGCTCATGAGAGCTTGTGGAGTTTCCAGCTCTTCGCTGTACCGGCTGGACTCGGTCCTAGTTATCGAGGTGGGGATGGGTTGGGGCCACTGCTCTTCAGAGCAGGTAGGGGTTGAGTTTCCTTGTTTCCTTTTAGAACGTGTGCTTCTTGGCTACATCCGTGTCAGGTGGCTGGGGTTGAGGCTGTTGTGGAATGGAGTAGGGTGTTTGCTGACTGGACTGGGTCTCATTCTTGCCCTTGTGTTTTGTGTCCCCACAGTGGGCCACCTTGAGAATGGAGAGGGGCGCCAAGGAGAAGAACCACCAGCTGTACAAGCCCTACACCAACGGTAAGCGGCCCTGGGCCTTCTCCTGGCAGCCTCACTTGGAAAGCATGCCCACGCGCTTTTTATCCCACGTGCGCTGTTCACTGTGTAAAATGTAGGCTGCCACTCTGGATGTTTCTGTGTGCTGTCTCCCAGCGTGCTGCTTGACACGTCTGCTCTTCTGCAGGAATCATTGCGAAAGATCCCACTTCACTAGAAGAAGAGATCAAAGAAATTCGTCGAAGTGGCAGTAGTAAGGCTCTGGATAACACTCCAGAGTTTGAGCTCTCCGACATTTTCTACTTCTGCCGGAAAGGAATGGAGACCATTATGGATGACGAGGTGACAAAGAGATTTTCAGCAGAGGAGTTGGAGTCCTGGAACCTGCTGAGCAGAACCAATTACAACTTCCAGTACATCAGCCTCCGGCTCACTGTCCTGTGGGGCTTGGGCGTGCTCATTCGGTACTGCTTCCTCCTGCCTCTCAGGTGAGGGAGGCGCCACCACCCCAGCCTCACGCGAGCTCGGCCTGCATGGCTGTCTCTGCGTTGTCTTCCCGTTTTAGAAAGAAGGGTAGTGTGATTCTCCGCTGGCCAGGCCGTCTGACTCTTGGAAGGGTGCCCTGGTGATTGCCCTTTAAAGGCCCTTGGATTCTTGCATATCAGACAGAAATAGTTGGGTTCCTTAAAGACAGATTGTCCACCTAGGTGGACCCGACGCAGGGACAGGGATCACCGTGTACTTTCTGGCCACTTGGCCCTGGGCACAGCTCCTTCTTCCTGAAGCTTGGGGGCCAGTACGGAAGCAGTATTGATCTCTCAGCTTTTTGTGAGCCGTGTGCTCTTCGGGTATACCGTCTTGCCAGATGCTGGTACCGTCAGGCTCTGCCTCCATTGCTCCACAGAGAAGCTGTGTTTCTGCCACGGTTTTAGGCCAAGGGGGAGGGGAGGCAGCAGGGCAGCCGTCTTGAGGGTCTTCCGTCTTTCTAGACGCCTGATGCCTGAGGAGAGGGTGTCAGCCGAGAGCCAGATCCACGGTGCACTCTCAGTTTGGAATCAGAACTGCCTCTGGTTGTCACAGGCCTGTTCGGGCCTCTAGAGGGAACTCTTGTCCACATCTTAGGTGATCAGATCTTGGAGGTGTTTCTGTGATGCTCACTTTCATTTTCACATATTGGATTCTATACTTGGTGCAAGAATGTGTTTGCTGTATGTTAACTTGTCTTCTTATTACAGGATAGCTCTCGCGTTCACGGGTATCAGCCTTCTGGTGGTGGGCACAACCGTGGTGGGATACTTGCCAAACGGGAGGTGAGTAGCGTGCAGGGCTTGTGTCTTCAGGGTAGTCAGTTCTGGGGACGGTGGCTCTGACACTGAAGGGCAGGCCATCTATTTGGATGCAGCCAAATCTGTGGAATCTTGGGTGGATGAAACAGCCCAGTGGTAACAAATGGCACCCACAGTACAGTTTTTTACTTTTTTTACTTTATCTGTGACTGTTCTTTTTGCCCTCCAACCCTTACCTTTGTCTCATTGCAAGGATAAAAGGGAGAAGCCACAAAGAGTCCAGGACTCAGACGTTAACAGATTTTACAGCATGTTTACTTTTGAGCATTCTAGTATGTTAATAAATTGGTGAGAGGGTAAGGTTTTAGAAAATGATTTGAAATGTAGGCAGGTTTTGTCTGGGTGCTGTTTTGTGGAGTTTAGGGGTTTTTTGTCTTTGTTTTTCAAGAAAATTGTGCTCCCTTGGGGAAGTTGTGGAGCTAGTAAGCTGGTAAACCCCTCTTCTGCCTGTGCTGGTGAGGAGCTGCCTGTGCCTCTGGCCTGCCGCTGGGTGCCAACTGGGGGAAAGGACTCTAGGAGACGTCCTGGCCCACCTGTGCTGGAGATTCTAGGGCTTTGAATTCTCAACTTGTTAACGTAGGTGAATGTAACCAAGTCTCGCTGTTATTTCTTTGTTTCCTCACGTGTAAACATAAAGATGCTAATATATTACCAGGTTTTATGCCACAGGTACTAATATTTATACAAGTACTTTGTACTCATAAAGGACTGTTAAATTGTTGGCGTCTGCAACTTTTCCTGTCTTCCTATATGTAAAACAAAACTCAGAATCCTTGTTGCGTTGCAGGTTTAAGGAGTTCCTGAGTAAACATGTCCACTTAATGTGCTACCGGATCTGTGTGCGAGCACTGACAGCCATCATTACCTACCACGACAGGTGAGGGGGCATACAAAGGAGATGGCGGTGGCAGAAACCACCACTCACCTGTCCTTGGCAAAGGGGAAGGCTCTCAGGAGCTTTCGGTTAGAGCGGGTGGAGCGTGGGAGGTGGGGGGTGTGTTCCAGATGAATTGTTTCGCAGTAATTTTGGTTGCTTGCATGCATTCTAAACCCAGGGAAAACAGACCAAGAAACGGCGGCATCTGTGTGGCCAATCACACCTCTCCTATTGACGTGATCATTTTGGCTAGTGACGGCTATTACGCCATGGTAAGGCCTCTTGAGGCAAGACCTCTTCCTTCAGACCGGCCAGGGTGGGAGGCTCTGGCCCTTCACAGAGGGCGTGACAGGTGCTTGCACGCGGGGCCTGCCGCGCTCTGAGAGGAAGCACGCTGAGCAGAGCGAGTGTGGGCTGTGGGCGGTGGGTCGGGTGTCTAGGCAGACACAGAAGGGGGTTGCGGGCCTTGGAATCTGCCAGGGAGGGGCGCTTTCACACGAGGGAGCTCAACGCTGTGATTTTGTTGTGGGGTTTTCAGTTACGTTTTTCGTTACGTATCTCTGGTATTACCAATCAGAAGTGAGCAACCTGCAGGAAGCAATCACCTGTCCAGGGTTGCAGAGCTTACTTTGTGGGATCTGGAGCTTGCTCCTTTGAGTGGGGGATTGAGCGAGTGGGCTGCAGTACTCACGAGTTCCGTGTCTGGGCCAGGTGGGCCAGGTGCACGGTGGACTAATGGGCGTGATCCAGAGAGCCATGGTGAAGGCCTGCCCACACGTCTGGTTCGAGCGCTCCGAGGTGAAGGACCGCCACCTGGTGGCCAAGAGGTAACGGGCAAAGCACTGCTCTTTGGTGTGACCAGTGGTAAAGAATGCAGAAAGCATTTCAGCAATACTTGTTCCTCACAGCAGAATTCCAGTATCTTCTACAATGAGCCTATACTGCTTTTATAATAAATATTTCCTAAAATGTGGAATATAAGAAGTCTAGAGACCCTAGTGTTATTTACCAAGTTAGTAACGTTTCTTAACTTTTTTTATTCATCACACCCATTGCAATAAACAAAATATCAACTTTTACTGCTACGTGAAATCTCAGAATGAATCCATCATCGCAGAAACAAGCTTAAGACAATGGAATAAAGTGCTGCTCTGTTTTTTAAACTTGAAAAACAAGGTGAATCTGGCATAAGTGATGCAGGGAGATTTGCAGTGGACAGAGAGACATGAAGATGCGGTTGAGACCGTCTCCCGTAGGGACAGACGAACCCTTTATTGAATCCTGTCTGCCGCGTCCCAGACAGAATGCTGAGCCGGGAACGGGAGGTCCAGCCCCACACGGCTGTTGCGCAGTCAGGAAGCAGAGGCGCCTCGTGCAAGGCCCTGAGGCCGGGCCTCTTTTAGGAAGTCCCAGGTCTGCACAGTGTGCTCTGCACAGATGTTAACACCGAATCAAGTGACTGTAGGAATTAAATAGTGGTCATCTAACTTTCTCTGCCCTTACAGATTTTTTCTTGTGCTTTAGTCGTGGGCTTAAAAAGAATCAGATCATATCTGTTAACTTGTTTTTATATATCTAAACTAGCATCACTTAAAAAAAATAGGTTATTATAAGTGCATTTTGACAATAGTGGGTGTAAGATTGTCTCACCCTCATTTTGTTCTTTTCTGAAGACTGACTGAACACGTGCGAGATAAAAGCAAGCTGCCTATCCTCATCTTCCCAGAAGGTAAGGGGCTCATTGCCACTGGCGCTTCGTGGGGTGCGCAGGAGTGTGACTGAGGGTGGCCCAGGAACCAGCCCTCGGCCCGTGCTGGGTTGTCTGCCTGCACCTTAGATTGACTGTAGGGCTGAGAGCCAGGGACACTCGGAGTTTGCACCAAGTGTGCCACTTCGTGCAGGAGTCCGTCCTGAGATGCTGCCAGCAGAGCCCGCGGCTCTCGGGGGCCCCCCACAGCCACTGAGCACCCCTGGTGCTGCCTGGGCTGGTGTGTGCTAAGCAGGGAGAGTGACCTGTGGAAAGAGAACCAGGGCGTTGCTGTGTTTACCAGTCAGTGTTCGTTCGTAAGTTAGGGACGTGACTTGCATCCTGCTTGAGGCGCCATTAGAAGAATTTTGATTATTATGTTTAGTCTTTAGGAAACTCCTAGTATCTGGGGTACGGGACTGACAGGAATAGCATTTTACTCTCTCCTGCGTTTTAGGAACCTGCATCAATAATACATCGGTGATGATGTTCAAAAAGGGAAGTTTTGAAATTGGAGCCACGGTTTACCCTGTTGCTATCAAGGTACAAGACCTGCGAGGGTGCGTGTTGTCATTGTCACAGCGGCGTGGAGGGGCACGGCGGGAGGAGGCGGAGGAAGGGACTGCCTGCTGTTGCTAGGCAGTCGACTCTTGGCAGAGCGGCTGGGGCTGGCTCTGTTGGGGGGTGGGCGGCCGGCGGGGAGACAGCTGACAGTGGTGCTTGGCCCCCTTAAGGGCACGGGAGCCTTTGGACCGGGAACAGACAGATGCCAGCCCATACCCCCCACCACCAGGTCGGGATGGCAAGCGCTTCTCAAGCTCTGTATCTCTCTGTCCCTCACTCCTTCCCTCTTTCTCCGTGGACCTGGCCGGAACGTGGCGGCTCTGTGGAACGGTGGCTGGCTGCAGGGGCCAGGGTGCGGTCGCAGCGTGGAACAGAGTCAGCCCTAAGTAGAGGTCTCTCGCGCAGATTTTGTCCACACCGTGCTCCGTGAAACATAGTGACAGTTCCTTTCTAATCACACATAGAAGCTTAGTTTTAAAAGTGTGTCCTCTACTCTTATCTCTTTTTGGTACTGTGAATTCATTAAGTCTTCTACAGTCAAATCCAAATGTCTTTCTGTACTTAAGGCTGTAATCTTGGAAAAATGATCCAATTTTTATTCTGAGAACCATAAGACTTAGGCTGGAAAGGCCTAAAAGATCACGCAGCTCAAACCCACACACTGCCCACGTGTCAGAGTCTCTACTGCGACACCCTCCCGCGTTTCCTCTCAGTCTCTCCTGAGGAAAGGGCCTTTTTTTTTCTTTTAAGAGGCAGTGTCTCACTCTGTTGCCTGGTCTAGAGTGCCGTGGCGTCAGCCTAGCTCACAGCAACCTCAAACTCCTGGGCTCAAGCAATCCTCCTGCCTCAGCCTCCCAAGTAGCTGGGACTACAGGCACGCACCACCATGCCTGGCTGATTTTTCTGTTTTGTAAAGATGGAGTCTCGCTCTTGCTCAGGCTGGTCTCAAACTCCTGGGCTCAAGCGATCCTCCTGCCTCAGCCTCCCGAGTAGCTGGGACTACAGGCACGCACCACCATGCCTGGCTGATTTTTCTGTTTTGTAAAGATGGAGTCTCGCTCTTGCTCAGGCTGGTCTCAAACTCCTGGGCTCAAGCGATCCTCCTGCCTCAGCCTCCCGAGTAGCTGGGACTACAGGCACGCACCACCATGCCTGGCTGATTTTTCTGTTTTGTAAAGATGGAGTCTCGCTCTTGCTCAGGCTGGTCTCAAACTCACGGCCTCAAGTGATCCTCCCAGAGTGCTAGGATTACAGGTGTGAGCCGCCACACCCGGCCTAAAGGGCATTTTTGACATCGGTGGCAGCATAGTCCTGCATGATAACTCTTGAAATTGTCTCCCTTGATTTTTCCACTCTCTGGTCCCGAGTGTTTGCTCTGTAATTACACAAAGCCTCGTCTGCAGTAGCCCTTCAAGCATGAGATGGCAGCTCCATGGCACCCTGTTGGTCGTTCTCCCGGAGGACTCATTTCCTCCGGTGCTCCTTGTCCAGCTCCTCCGGCACCTTGCCCGCCTGCTCCCCTGCCGCGTGAGCTGTCCTTGTATAGAGATGAGGTTCCCAGCTGCGGCCACGCTTTCTACAAACACCCCTGAAGCACAGCCTTTCGCCTCACTAGAGCTGGCAACCGACAGCACCTAATGCCCCGGCCTCTTGGCACGAGGCCTGGTGCGGCTCGAGGCCTGGTGCTTGTCGCGCCCGCAGCCATGGCCGCTGTGGTCAGCGAGGCGCTGCCTCTCGAGCACACGGCTCACTGGGTTAGCCGTGCGAGCGTGGAGGGTGGGTCACAAGCTTTCTGATTCTTTCCTCCGTGGTCTAGGCACCAGGAATGATGCGAGAAAGCTGCTGGTTACATAAGAAAATACCTTTATTGGCTGAATGACAGGATGGTGGGGACAGACCTCCTGAGAGGGAGGGACAGGGAGCGCTGTGGGGAGCGTCGGCAGTTGCTGACGCCGGGCTGGCATGTGGGAGCACGTTTTCCTGGCTCTGGTTTCGGGTGCCTGTGGAGCGTGAACACAGTGTGCCTGCTCGTGAGGCCCGACTGGCCGCAGAGGGAGGACTTGCAGTGAGGAGGTTGTCGGGGCGTCTCCCTGGCGACCCAGCGGAGGCCGGTTGGATCGAGGGGCAAGCGTTGCCCAGGTGTGCAGGTGCTTCAGAAGAGCACGCAGGGCCTGGGGGTCCCCTTGCTCACCCAGCACGGCCAGGGAGCCTCCACGGAAGTCGCCGCCGGCCCCACGTGGTGAGTCGCCCACTCCCCACCCTCCAGCTCTGCCTTGTCTTTCAGTACGACCCTCAGTTCGGAGACGCCTTCTGGAACAGCAGCAAATACGGGATGGTGACGTACCTGCTGAGGATGATGACCAGCTGGGCCATCGTCTGCAGCGTCTGGTACCTGCCCCCCATGACCCGAGAGGTAGGGCCCCGAGCAGAGGCCTTCCCTTGCCTTGGGTGGCCACGGGCCTGGGCTGAGTGGTCCCTTTGGTTCGTTCTTACAGGCAGATGAGGACGCCGTGCAGTTTGCAAACAGGGTGAAGTCCGCCATCGCCAGGCAGGGAGGCCTCGTGGACCTGCTGTGGTGAGTGCAGAGCCGGGTCTGAGACCCGCGTCTCCAGAGCAGGCGCGGAGTCGCTGGCTCCGCTGACGTCTAGTGCTCCGGGTGCAGAATCCAACTGGCCAGCTCCAGAGGGCAGCTAGACCCCGCCCCCCGGTCCACTCAGGCGCCTGTGCGGCCTTGACCTCAGGGCGCGCGGTCCAGGGTGCCGGGACTGAAGCGGCTGCTTCCGGGCACCTTTCTGGTTTCGGGGCCAGTCTGTCAGGGCACCGGACAGCCCTCGTCTCTCGGGGAGCATGACCTGGGCTCACCTGAAACCCTCACAGGAGGACAGGCTTTCTCCGGCCGCAGTGTGTTTGGCAAGTCGACCGTCCTTAGAAAGACAGGCGTTGCATTCATTGCCTTCAGCTTGTTAGCTGCCGTGTTTCCCCGAAAATAGGACCTGCCCATAAAAGAAGCCCCAGCAGGATTTCTAAGCATTTGCGCAATAGAAGCCAGACCTAGTGATGGGCGTGGCTGCGCAGCGCATCTGCACAGCCCATGCATGTTGTCGCAGAGTGGGACAGAACACGAGCAACCCTTCTCATCTGCCCCGTGAGAGCTCTAGTGCTCCACATGAGACATTGGGGCCAATGGTTCTAAAGGAAACAGAGTCACAAGAAATTCAGGATGGAATTCAGGGTTTGGAGAGTGATGATGATGATGATCCAGAAGAAGATGATTTAACTATATTTGAATAAATGTAGATTGTTGTACTGAAAAAAACTAACCCATCCCCTGAAAATAAGCTCTAGGGTGTCTTCTTGAGGAAAAATAAATACAAGACCCCCTCTTATTTTCGGGGAAACACGGTGATCGAGCAGGAGTCGACACACTTGCTCTGTAAAGAATCTGTGGATGTTTTAGGCTTTGCGGACCCTGCGGTGCCATTGCAGTATGCGTCTAGGGACGGCACACACACACACACGCGGGAGTGAGCACGCAGTGTCCCCACAAAGCTTATTCACAGGAACAGGCATCAGCCTGGGTGCGAGCCGGCTGCATCCAAGTGACAGGCGGTGGACAGGGACGAGTGCTGGCTCAGAGAAACTTCCACCCCCTGGGCCCTTGGGTTTAAGTGCAGGGGCGGCCATGGGAGGCATTGGACTTAGAGGGACGTTATGAGAAAGAAAGGGTAGAACTTCAAATTTTAGACTGAATTGTGGATTTTCAGGTCATGGCTTGGCCCCGCGCTTACTGAGCACGTATAACGTGCCCCGAGCGGTGACTCGCCCACCCTCACAGCGGCCCCACGGGGGCAGAATGCCATCCCATCCTGCAGACGGGAGCTGGCACTCAGGTGGGGTCGCTTGTTTGCAAAGCCATGAATAAGCACCGGAGCTCACCCGGGGCTGGCAGGCTCTCGGAGCCCAAGAGTTCAACCTCCGCCCTCCCATCTCTGGGCCGATCGGAGGCCAGGAGGCTGCTTCAGGAGCAGGCCTCGCTGTGGCTGTCGGAGGGCGCAGCAGAAAGACTGAGCGCGGGCGAGCAGGAGGTGGCGGGCTCCCGTGTTCGTGAGCGGCCAGAGTGGGGGTGACGCAGAGCTCGGGCGAGCAGGGGGTGGCGGGCTCCCGTATTCGTGGAGCCGCCAGAGTGGGGGTGACGCAGAGCTCGGGCGAGCAGGGGGTGCGGGCTCCCGTGTTCGTGAGCCGCCAGAGTGGGGTGACGCAGAGCGCGGGCGAGCAGGGGTGCGCGGCCGACGCACTGTGAGGGAGCAGCGTGGCCTGCTGGGTGTGTGGCTGTCTCGGGAGTTGCGGGCGGAGAAGCCAGGACGCTGAGAGGCTGTCCCGGGAGTTTGAGCGTCCCTGCGCTTGGGCCCTGCCTCTTGAGCCCTGCCTCTTGAGCACGGGAGAAAGAAGAAAGCGTGTTTCGTGTTCTTGGCATGAATTCAGAGCTTCCCTGGTTCTGAATTACACAGATGACATCCTACAGATGCGTTGTGAGTCTCAGTGTTCCTTAACGCGCGTCTGCCTTCCATAATGCCGGACGCCTCCGGTACCCTCTGCAAGGTGCAGGTCAGTGTGGGAGCAGGGAGGACTGCAGACGCCTTGGCAGGTTTAAGCGGTTACAGACTCCCTTGGATGTGAGTAGTGACTTTGGCCCCAGGCAAGCAAGCGAGAGCATTTTGAGGTGGAAAGGTGGATTTGGGGTCATCCTATCGAGAGTGTGGAGTGCTCCTGTTCCCCGCAGGATTTCTCGGGTTTGGGCGGCACCGTGGTCCCCTGGCGCGAGGGTGGCGGGAAGCCTTCCTGCCGTCACAGCCGGGCTCTCTCACAGGGACGGCGGCCTGAAGAGGGAGAAGGTGAAGGACACGTTCAAAGAGGAGCAGCAGAAGCTGTACAGCAAGATGATCGTCGGGAACCATGAGGACCGGAGCCGCTCCTGAGCGCCCGGAGCCCGCGGGGCCGGCCCGCCGCCGCCCCACTGCCGCCCTTCCACCTCGGCCCTCCGCAGCTCTGCGCCCCCGCACGCGGCGCCCAGGGCGGTGCCTTCCTGTCTCCTTGGCGGTGTCGTGGGAGGAACCCGTGGAATCCGCTCCAGCCGCGTTCTCGCGTGAGGGCGGCCGGACGCTGGTCTGTGGCGAGTGCCCGTGTGCCGGGGCCTCGCCGGGGCGCCTGCCCCTGAGCAAGCTCTGCGCCCTCGGCCTCGCCCCCGCCCGCGCGGAGCTCCGAAGACCTGTGCAGAGAACAGTGCTGTCCGCAGGGCTTTCGACAAAATGGAGTTGTTAGTTTTGTTCCACTGCCCGTGGAGGGTCCCCGAGGGGTGGGGGAGGCCGGGTGGGCCACTGAGTGTTGTGGTGAGACCCGAGAGTCATTTCTGTGTTCAGACTCCAGGGCCGAGTCTGAATTCCCCATGTGACTTGCTCTTTGTTTAACGTGTGCCTCAGTTTCCCCGTCTGTGACATGGGTCAGGAGGGGAAGGGTGGCGACGCCTACCTCACAGGGTTGTTGTGGGGATTACCGTGCTGCTGTGAGAGAAGGACACGTGCTGTTCAGTGTTACAGGTACGGGCCACGCACGTGGCAGGACGGGCTGAGCTCAGCCGCCACACGGCGCTGGGTTTGCTTTTGTGAGTAAATAAAGTGGATGGTGAATGGACTGGGCGACTTTTCCCTTCGCTCTCGCCCCCGGATGCAGCCCCCAGTCGCGTGAAGCCCTGTTTCTGGAGCGCGGCCCCGGGCTTGGGCTCCCGGGCTCCTGGGCTAGGGGCGGACGGGTGAGGGGAGGCAAGCCCCTTTCAGACGTCTGCACCTCGCTGGTCCGTCCAGACCCCCGGCACCGGCGCGGGTCTGCACAGGGGCTCCGTGGAGCGGGGCGTGGGGGGGGGTGAGGACGGGGCTGTGGGGCGCGAGGGGGCAGAGCTCTTGCTTCTGGGGTCCGCCCGAGCCGCCTCGCCCGGCATCGATCCGGCTGCCTGGCACGCAGCACTCCAGCCCCTCTCAGGACTCCACACCGGCCACAGTGAGCCTGCCCGGGTCTGCCCCGGGGCTGGGGCGCGTGGTGAAGCCACGCCTGAGGCTGGAAGCCGCTCCTTTGTCTCAGGACCCGCGCCCCGCCCCGCAGGGCCTTCCTGTGACCTCCCCAGGGGGCCGCCGTCCTGCCCGAGTCCCACTGGCCGCCGGCGCAGTCCCTGTCGAGGGCCCACCACCGCGACGGTAAGAGCGGCCTCGCCCCACGCTTCACAGCATGCTCAGGAACAAGTGGTTTAGGGGGGCTTTAGAGTGTTTGAAGCTAACTGGAAAGATCTTTCAAAATTGGTCTCGAAGGTCAAGTTCCTTTTAAAAGTTCCTCTAAAACTTGTATTCATTATTCCTGCATTTCATGACTTGCATAGGATTTCCACTTATGTGTCCTTTTTGCTTTTAGTGGCCTCATGTTGGTGACGGCAGGTGCTGCAGGCCTGGAGCGGAGTCCCTGCAGTGGGGAGGCGCAGGGGGAGAAGGGCCGAGCTCACACCTGCAGAGCGCAGCCGCTGGCACGGCAGGAAAAGCATTCGGGCCACGTGGCGGCTCCGCCCCTTTTGACTGGGGACCCCACAGGCCGTTGGTCAGATGCTCTGTTTGGGCTGAGCGAGGTGGTCTGGCGTGAGCACGTGTGGTGGGAAGTACGCTGGCCCCGAGATCCCAGCAGGGAGGGGCTGAGCTGGGAGAGATCCAGGTGACAGCGCAAGGCGCAGGCCAGCCTCCGACCCCACTTCCAGACACGCTCCTGGCGGTCCTGGCTTTGCTGCTCTGCGTCCGTGTCCTGGTTCATCACCGGCAGCCTGGGTGGGCTCCCTGCCCTCCGGGACCTGGTCTACCTCTGGAAGTTGTACAGCTTTTCTACCCGTGGTCCGAACTTTGGCTTTGATCTCTGAAGTCTTCAGAGTTTTCAAATAAGAGAGGTCAGTTAGAGTCCTTTGCTGCTTCTAAAACAGTAGAGCTAGTGACACGAAACTGCTGGAGGGTGTCCCCGAGCATTTCAGGCAGTTGTGGGGCTGGGTCCATACTTCTCTTGGGCAGGGTGGTTTTGATCGTACATCTTGGACAGAATGTTGTTTCTTCTCTTTTTTTGTAGAGATGGGGTCTCACTTTGTCACCCAGGCTGGTGTGCAGTGGCATGCTCACAGCCAACTTCAGCCTCCAAGTCCTGGGCCCCAGGGACGCCCCTCCTCAGCGTCATGAGTAGTAGCTGGGGCTATGGGCACGTGCTACCACGGCCGGCTAATTTTCTAATATTTTGTAGAGACGGGGTCTCACTGTGTTGCCCAGTGACTCTCTTCACTCGGGCACGAGACTTTACTGCAGCTGGTTAAAAGGGAACTTTCTAATAAGGCTAGAAAAATTCCCGTGACAGAGGAAGAGCAGTAGAATCTGTGAGCCAGGCCGGAGCCCCGGACGCTGAGCTGGTGGAGGCGTCCGCGCAGGCGTCCTCCTGACGGCAGGACCGGCTCCGGAACTCTCCACCGTGTCACAGCCCACTCCCGGCGCCGCCTTCAGAGACTGCGAAGGCTGGAGGGGCGGTGGGGGCGCTGCAGCGCCGAGCGCCTGCCCCAGACCCGTGATGGGTGTTCTGGGGCACCGGCGTGCCGCACACCTCCACGGCCAAACCAGCATGGACACCAGCCCTGTTGTTCTCTGGGAACGTTCTGGCTCTGCGAATCTTGCCTTTCCCCTCCCGGACTTGGCCGAGAACGTGGCCGTCTGTGGGATGTGCTCCCACCGTGCCCTGGTGCCTGAAAGTGCCCCGTGTCCAGCCCCCCCACCCGCCTCGTGGCCCATGCCACACGCCGCCTCTCGGTCGGGCCGGGCCGGCGGGGCCATCCGTCTTCCCACACACGCACACCCTCTCCCCCAGTCGATACGTCTCTCTCCGATGGGAAAGTTAATAAATTTTGCTCTAGATTAAAAGTATTGATCATTTCATTTGTAAACGATAAATAAAAAGGGGGAACTTTTCATCGCACCAGGGGTGGCGTCTGGTGTATTCTGTGGCTGAGATTGCGCTGCTGCCGGGGGGGCTGCTCATATGCATCCCGGCCGGCCGGCCGCATTGATTTCCTATTAGTCTCCCGGCACCACCCGGTAACACATCACTTCAGTACCTGCTATTAATGGTCTTTTGATAAATAATCACTTGTAAGTCAATAAATTTTTATTAAACAGTGTGGCTCTTTGATTTATGAAAATCCAACCGTGTTTGTCTGGGAGAAAAGGGATGCTGAATTGAAGTGGAGGTTTTCATACATCTTCCTGACGCCGGGCAGTCACTGCACACTCCAGAGGAAAACAATTGCATTTTAACAGAAACGGAACAGCCGGGTTTGGAACTTGGGCCCAGGGAAACTTCGTCTCCGTCGGTCTGAGGCTGGCTCTTCGGGGGGCAGCGACTGACTGGCCTGCAGTGTGGGGTGCAGGGCTGGACTCTGCCCGCTGCCTCCTGGGCTGGGGCCGGTCCCTCTGCAGACCTCGGGTCCGTAGGGGCTGGACGGGGGGGGGGAGGGGGGGAGGAGGGGAGGGGGGGGGGGGGGGGACCTTAGCGCCCTCCTGCCCACGTCACCCCTGGTCCTGGGCTGTATGGGTTATTTTTATTTTTTGAGACAGTCTCGCATTGTTGCCCAGACTAGAGTGAGTGCTGTGGTGTCAGCCTAGCTCACAGCAACCTCAAACTCATGGGCTCAAGCGATCCTCCTGCCTCAGCCTCCCGAGTAGCTGGGACTACAGGCATGCGCCACCATGCCCAGCCAATTTTTTCTATATATATTAGTTGGCCAATTAATTTCTATTTAGAGACAGGGTCTCGCTCTTGCTCAGGCTGGTCTCGAACTCCTGAGCTCAAACGATCCGCCCACCTCGGCCTCCCAGAGAGCTAGGGGTCACAGGCGTGAGCCACCGTGCTCGGCAACGTATGGGGTTTTTATAAAAGTGGGCCAATAGCTGGAGATCAGAAACCTTTCTTGTGAGGTCTTCATCGGCATCCAGTCTGCTGTGGAGGGCTGCACCGATCCACTCAGCCCCAGGCAGGCTGTCCATGCAGAGCGGAGCCAGAAGTCCCAGGCCAGACGCAAGTGTGGGAAAGGAAAACGTCCGGCTGGTAGATACCTTTGTTAAAACGAGCAGTTGGAGTCCTCAACCCTGCCCTCTCGCAGGCTCCGCTGACTTCTCCACCCCGTTTGGTGGTGCGGGTGGGAGCAACGGGAAGGGCCCTCGACGGGTCGCTGGCGGGGAGATGCGAGGGCTCCAGTGTCTGCACCTGCTGCGAGCTGCCCTGGCTCCGCTTTCTGTCCTCTTGGGGCCTGGACGGGCACTAGGGAGCTGGAGGGCAGAAAGCAAACTGGGGGGAACGTCCCAGAGCAGGTGGGTGCTCCCAGCGTGGCCCGGTCTGTGCCCGCGTGCAAGAGGTTGGACCTTGGGGACCTCAAGGCCGGGGCCCAGGGCTGGCGCAGCCCTCCAGACGTGCGGCGGTGCACCGGGCAGGCCGGGCACACCACCGACAGCACGCATGCGGCCTCCCAGACACGACCACACTACGCCTCCGGTGCTTTACACGTGCAGACTCCAAGGCCACCACCCGGGCGAAACTGGACACTTGTGAAGTGCATCTCCCGGGGGCCTGCCTCTAGCCTTTGTCCACGGTCCCCACCCTCCTGTCCCGCGGCCACTTCCGCTCCGTTAGGGGCCTTCAGTGGGGAGGGAGTGACTTGCTAGCAGCTGTCATTGTCGCTGCTGGTGGGGGGTGAGGGGCGTGAGTTTGCTAAGGGCTGGCAAGGGGCATTTGGGCCATCACCTGTGGACCTCACCAGACAGCAGGAAGCCAGGGGCAGGTGGGGCGGCTCTGTCTCCCTGAGTAAGGGAGGAAGCCCGGAGCTTCCGGAATGGAGCATCTGGCGATCCCAGGGGCAGCTGTGGCGCTGTTTCCCTCCCTCGACCCCACGGGTCCCGAAATGCATTTGGAGCGCGTTCGACCCCGGCCGCGTGCGGCAAACTGGGCTCTGCACGGCAGGAAGCGAGCGCAGGCTCCACCCGGGGCCCAGGCAGAGGCGTCCGGCTGCCTGTGCGCCCTCCCCGGGGTGGGGAGCGTGCACGGCCACACCGCCCAGCGGCGGGTGGAGGCGCTGGGCCCTGCCCGCCCACGGCCCTGCTTCCTGCCCGCGCGGCCCGGGCCGGCTGCTGCCGCTCGCTGCTCGGATTGACCCGCCTGTGTGATTTGTCATCTCTCCGAGGCGGGCGCTGTTTTCTCTTGCTTCAGGAGGCCCCTTCGACACCTGCTTTATTTTTCTTCCTGCGCTGACGTGACGGGAGACAGGTGTTAAACTACTTAATCACTTTAAAATTGTTTTAATTTTCTGTTTTTTATTGATCTCCCCAGCGCCAATTAATCAGCTCACTGGACCAGGCAGTTAGTACATTAAAAATTGTCAGGGAGGCCGTGCATCTTGCAAAATGTCTAAAAAATATTCGGCTAGCAAATTTCGTTTTTCTTTGGCATGCAACAGTGCGCGGCCTGTGGAACTCCCACTCGGAGAGGGCCCTGCCCCCACCCCCCCCGGGCTGTGTGTCGGGTGTTCCGGGGAGCTCTGGCCGGGCTGCCCACAGGGAGACGCCCCGAGCAGGTGCCCTCTCAGCCGGCTCCCCTCGGCTTCTGCAGTCGCTCGCACGGCCCTGGGCTCCTTGCCCAAGGACGTCAGGAGCTTTGCAGAAGGCAGCGCTTGCTCTGGGCCCCGTGTCCTGACCCCACGGGCCCGGACTTGAGTCTGTAACTGCCTTGCGGCTGCCCCGAGCCCACGGCCAGATTTCCCATCCCGTCGTCCTCTGGCAATGCCAAGCCTCCCCTCGTGGGGCAGGAGCCTGCTAAGCCCGTCACGCTGCCTCCTCCCTGGCACCCCTGCGATGGGCCTGCAGCCTCTCCCACGGAAAGTTCTGGAGAGCCCCGCCCACCGCACCCCACCCCCGCCAGGTCCTGCACTGCAAACCTTTGCCACTTGCCTGTTATCAGCCCTCTCGAGATGATTTATTAGCTGCTCGGCTGTACTTTGTGAGGGAAATAAAGCGTGGGCAGAATGGCCGTCGGCGCCACTTCTGGGGGGTGGGAATGTGTTTTCCGCTTTCCCCAACTCGGCCTGGTTTTCTGTCACTTGTTAGGGCAAGCCCTGTCCCCACGCCCAAAGTCCCTGCCGCAGCCCTTCCTCCTCCGGGCCCCCCTGTGGCAGGGATGGGTACCCAGCACCCCCAGAAGGGCCCGGGGAGCCCCACATTTGGGGGAGCCAGGGGCGGGGGCTGCGGGGCGTGGTGGGCAGGCTTATCTCCCGCCCCGCCGCTCAGTATTAATTGGTATAAGATTGGGCCCGGGCGGATAATGCAGCATCGATTTTCTCTCTGGACGCCACGGCTCTATTTGCGCACACCTGCCTGTGTTTGCCGGCGCCCTGCCGTGGAGACCGGGCTTATCCGCCTGCCGGCTCTCCTCCCCAGGGCTCGAGGGCGCAGCCCGCCCCCGGCAGGTCCTCCCGGCTCGGACGGGGGTGGCCCAGGAGGGCTTTCTCTGCCCCGGACCCCACGAGCTCTGCCCTGCTGGGAAGGTGCGTGATGATTACTCGGGCAACGCCGGCTTTAGAGCCTGCCCTGGGCTCAGATCCACCTCCCTGCTCGAGGCCTTGAGGCCTCTGCAGTTTTCTGCTCCGTGACTTCTCCTCCTTGTCCGGGGGAAGGCAGAACGCCTGCCCTGTGGGGCTCTCGGCGGCTGCGTGTCCGCCGCCACACACACGGCCTGACACTCAGCCGCAGCTCAGGAGAACCAGCTCCCCTCGTCCCCCGGGCCTGCGCCGCTGCACCCACGGCGGCAGGGAGGGCCGCGGGCGCGCACGCCAGCCACCGCCGTGTGTCCCCCGAGAGAGCCTCGGCCCCCGGGTAGTGCGGCCCCCGCGGCCACCGCCGCCTGGCACCAGCCGCACTCTCAGGACGGCCTCCCCGTCGTCACGGGCCCCTCCCCACACAGCCCAGGCCCAGCGCCCGGGTTCTGCTTTCCTCGTTTCCGGCCTCAGACTGCAGCCGGTCCCCCCTGGTTTCTGTAGCGGGAGGTGGAAGAGCCAGCGGCAAACACCGTTTCCTCTCGACACGAGGCTGACACTCCCGCTTGGACAGGCGGCTGTGCTTTCACTCGCTTTGCAAAATCCATGCACGAAGACAGCAAGAAGGCCTTCTCCCTGCGGGGGGATGAGGAGGGACAGGAGGGACAAAATTCCAATGTCACTTTGCTAAAATTAGAAAAAAAAACAATCCTAAAATT